AAAAAAAAAAAGAGAACGCAGATCGGGAAGGTACGAAAGGTTACTCTTTTCTTCTCTTTTCTATCAGCTTTTTTCCCCTTTCTTTCTCTCTCTCTCTCTCTCTCTTCTATTTTTCTATTTTACCCTTTCTTTCGCAATTTTTTCCTTTTTTGTATATTTTTTTTTTTTTCAACGTTGAACTAGGGCGTCTTTTTCGAAGGGAGGAACTCTCTTCCTATGTATGTATATATATGTATATCTATATATACCAATATATATACATATATTTATATATATATATATATATATACATCGATATATATATATATATATATATATTTATCGATTTAGATTGGGAGCAATTTATTCGTACTCGCGACGTCCTTGATCGAGACCCTTGAGCTCTTTGGTATTGTTCTCCGTGGAGACTTTGAGAAGCGCGGCCTTCGAGCGCCCTTTTTCTCTTTTTTTTTTTCCTTTTTTTTTGTTTTCATTTTATTCTCCTTTTTTTTTTTTTTTGTTATTTTTCTCTTCTCACTTCTTTGCTTCGTCTTTCCTATTCTTTGTGTTTTTAAAAATTCTTTTCTTTTTCTGGGCAAACCCGCGAACTTTCGAATACGAGTTACGCTTAATATAGATTACCGAAAGTCGCATTTATTGGTTTTCAACCCTTTCCGTCTCGTACCTATTATCATCGTGTTTTCGAGTAAGGGTCACGGGGAGCTTCGAAGACCCGCCACGTCTTCTTTCGTCGTTTCATTTTTTTTTTTTATTTTATTTTATATCTTTCTTACTTTCTTTCTTTTTTATTTTTTTTTTTTTTTATTTTTATTTTCTCTTCACCCTATATATCTCTTTCTCGTACGGGATTATACATATTACTTACACGCATACACACTCTAGACAGACGCACACGTATGCATACACCTATGAACACACATTCTCTCTCTCTCTCTCTTTCTCTCTCTATCTCTCTTACTTTCTTTCTTTCCTCATTTCTGACTTTTTCATTTTCTCCGTTTCCCGAATAAAATTTCTACGGAAGCGCGAGGCTCGTTTATTGTGACGTCTAATTTTCTAATAAAGAAAAGTCACAAAAGTAGTTCTCTCTATTTTTTTTATCTCTCCTTTTTTTTTTTTTTTTTTTTTTTTTTTTTAAGAAGTTAATTATTAAGAAAAAAAAAAGAAGAAGAAGAAGATGATACAAATATATGTGTGACGGTAGTTTTAAATATATTATTAATTAATTTTTAGGAAATCGTGTGTTTTTCCTAAAAGAAAATTATTTTATCATTCTTTTCTGTTCTTTCCTTTTCTTTTCTTTTCTTTTCTATTCGTCGATGGACCATCCGAGATCAAATGCTACCGAAATTTCATTTTTCTTTAATCTACCTTATACTCTTCTTTAAACACCTTTCCCCCTCCCCAATTCTAGAATTAAATCGTATTTAAATCATATGAAAAGGGTGGTGGTCGTAAGGCCCATATATCTTCGTATAGCAGCGTATATATATATTTTTTTAAGTTGATCCTTTCTCTTTCTCTCTCTCTCTCTCTCTCTCTCTCTTATTCTTTCATATTCTCCATTTGTTTGTTTGTTTAAATCCGTCATTCTCTTTGGTCGCGCGTTGGCCCTCTCACGACTCTTTTTTTCGCGGACTCTCATCATTAGTGTTGTGTCCGACGACCGACTAGACCGAGCGTGCTTCGTATGGGTCGAAAAGGGTCTACTCATTCGAAGGGCCCCGCGCGATTATCGCTAGCAGTAGTACAAGGTCGAGATTCCCAGTTTGCAAGAAAATGGCGCCCTACGACGATTGTACACACTTCCGGTGCTGATGTCCTTAGTCTCGCACCGTAGACCCGTGAAGCCGTCCGCGCATCTGTAATCACAAACAAACAAAATTAGCTTAATAATTTATTTTTTACTTAATGATAATATAACAATGTTTCAATTATTTTGTTTACATTATATTTTTGTTTTCTCGACAAGTTTGATAGAACGTAATAACGTTTTAAATTATTTCTAATTAATCAACAAGTATTCTACAATTTTTGATCTATCGTCTAAACCAGGGCTTCTTAAACTTTTGTCATTCACGACCCCATTTATGATTGCGAGTTTCTTGACGACCCCATTTATGATTGCGAGTTTCTTGACGACCCCATTTATGATTGCGAGTTTCTTGACGACCCCATACAAATATTACTGCTGTCGGTGGAGATAGCTCAAAACCTTCAACAAATGCACGTGTCTAGACGCTRCAAGTYCACTSTATTYCKYCAACTCTAGTRATGTTATAAAATGGTATATATAAATATTTGACATTAAAATCTCTCGCGACCCATAGTTTAAGAAGCCCTGGTCTAAACCAATTAATTGTGTCTCTCCATATTTAATAATATTTTTATAACATTAGTAAATGTATTTGTGTTTGATTATTTTAAATAGTCGTATGTGTATGATCGTATTATGATTTACGTTTGTTGCGAGTTAGGGATGGTATCGGTAACGTTGATAATAGTTATGCGAATGCGAATGTCGCGAGAGAGATAGGTCGATGAGTTTAAAATATTTTTTCTCTTCTTCTTTTTTTTTCTTTTTTTTTTTTAAAGGAAAAAATAACGTTATGCCGGCGTCGTTGTATTTATAGCACGGTTAACTAAGCGAGAGGAAACGCTCGAACGTCGGTAGACGCCTCGAGACTTCTCTCTCTCTCTTTCTCTCTTTATCTCTTGTCGTCGGAGAACGTACAAGATAGAAAGAGAGAGAGAGAGAGAGAGAGAGAGAGAGAGAGAGAGAGAGAGAGAGAGTTTAAAGTCCAGGTCTATGGTAGCGCTCGGTCTGGCGTGCAATAAAGCGTATTTTTGTCTCCGACAAATTTGGGGCGTCTCGCGTTAGAGACGATGCGAGCCGTGTCTCTTCTTCTTCTTCTTCTTCTTCTTCTTCTTCTTCTTCTCCTTCTTCTTCTATTTTTTCTTTTTTCTTTTTTCGTTTTATTTAACAAAATCGCCCACATAGGTAAAGTCTCGTCGGACGTTCCAAAAGCTACGTCTCTTTCCTTTTCTTTTCGATGAGTTAAGGTGGCAACAGAGTCAATGTTTGTGTGTGTCTCTGTGTGTGAGAGAGAGAGAGAGGGAGAGATAGAGAGGAATGACGAAAAGACGATGAGAAATATGTGTATGTGTATGTGTGTGAGTTGCGCCGAGAAGTTTCTTCTTCTCGTTCAGCACACACACACACACATAGAGAGAGAGAGAGAGAGAGAAGAGAGAGAGAAAGAGAGAGAGTAGAAAGAACAGCCGGTAGGAAAATTTGTCGGGGCTCGTGACTGCGTTTAGGAGCGTATTAAGAGAATGACAGGGAACACGTGCTCGTGAAACGATAAAAAGGCGCAAAGCGAAACGAACCGTCGCGTTTATCCGAGACACCCAATCGAATATTAAACTTTATCTTAGAAAAAATAAAAAAATGTCATTACTGTTATTAATATTTAATATTATTATGTGTTTATCTCTCTCTTGTTCTCGAATCATCTGCTTTTCCTGCTATTCTGTTTTTTTTCCTTCTTCGTACATATATTAGGAAAATCTGATAGATATTTTGGTTTGGCAAAAGTTTTTATAGGGGATGTCGCGGATTTACGGTGGCGCATCGTAAGAGTTGGGTGGGGGTGGGGGGGTGGTACATATCTACACGTTGCTAAATGTACTCCACCACCAGCAAGGATTTACTGCGGGACAAAACTAAAACAGTGCCGGGTAGATAGTACAATTTACTGTTACCATTCACTTAAACCCATTAACGCTCTGCGGTAACTTCACCCGCGCACCGCCCGTAATTGGCTTTCCATTGAGATTTATCGTAATCATGCGTGCTTACCGAGCCTCCAGGAAACTCTTTTACGACTCGAGCCGTAAAATAAATTCAACGCGTAAATCAGCGATAGATAACGCACGTAGGAAACCTATTTATTTCTACCCTTTTCCCCCTCCCAACCCTCCCGTCCTTTCCCTTCCCTCTTTTCTCCCTAAACAGATTTATCACCGTCAACTTGCTACAGACGACGAACTTTATTAAAATTTAACACCTCAGGTGAACTTAACGAATCATTTTACTCCAAATTCTACATCTTCGGACGATTCTTTTCTTGTTTTTCTTCGACCGTCAAAAAATTACGATAGCACGATTAATCGCGTGAAATATTTCTTCTTTTTTTTTTTTTTGGTTTTTATCCTCTTTGCGGTTTCACGCGACAATATTTTTTCCCCCCCCTTTCCCAATTCTCTTTAACAAATTCGATGCTATACGAGCGGTTCGTTTTAATTTTGTTTTATTACACTTAAAACGATGATTCGCGTATCGTTCGACCTATATTTTTGTTCTTCTTTTTTTGTTTTTTTTTCTTCAACACCGAATTATCACTCACCATTTATCGATCTTATTTCTACGTATTTATATGTAGGTACCTACGAGAGTAGTGACTCACCCAACGTGGTCGGGCACTTTTATTTTTGGAACGACGCGACGTCGAATAAATGTGTGTTTGCGTTTTGCGAGTATTTGAAACGGCCGACCTTTCAAACGTGTGTATATATATATATATATATATATACACATACACGTACATACATAAATATAATAGATACATACATATGTATGAACGGCCCTCCTCGTATTTTGTAAAAAATCCTTTTGATTTTGGAAACCCTGTCCACGTGATTAGCGAGCTCGTACAAAATGCTTCTATCTCTTTCTCTCTCTCTCTCACTCTCTCTTTCCTCGAAATAAAATTCGTATTCCCATATTTTTTACATTCTAATGAACGACTCGTTTATTTTATTTTTCTTTTCATCTTGTTACGTTTTTTTAACTTTCCTACGGCCTCATTTCAGTCACGATTACATTGAACACTTTTATAAAGCTTTCGTGACCGTTTCGTTCGTGTCGCGAAGTACTATGGGGGAGGGGGGAGGTGGTATTATGGAGACGTAACAAAAAAAAAAAAAGAAAAAGAAGGAACAAGAAAAAGGAAAAATGTAAAAAGGAAAAGAAAGATATTATAAATTAGCGCGGCTCATTAAGCTGAAGTTATTCGTTAGAAGTATAGTATGCAGGGGTATCGTGTGTAGGTAGGTCGATCGGTACCGTTGGAAACAATTGTTTCACGAGTGTGATCGATCATTGTTTGTCGAAAAAAAGAAAAAAAGGAAAAGAAGGAAGAAAAAAGTGAAAGAGCGAACTATTGTTTTTCAGTCTTTAATAATCCTTTAATGTCACCTTTCATACCCCTTTTTTGTAGTAACCAACAACGAAAGCCTCTTTCGCCAGAAACTTGAGAAACTTCTCGAAAGCCTGGTATAATCGTGGAGTTGGTAAACTTTCAAACGAACGTATCAAAAACCTTTTTTGTTAGGAAGATCGATCGTCTGGTCGTTGTTAATATTAAAGTTTTTTCATTTGTCTCCCATATGAATGAAATGAATAAATGAAACATTTTCCGATTCTTTGATCGTTTTGAAATTGTGTTTATTATATTTTTCAATGTAATCTGTATTAATTATAACGCGTATGTATATATATATATATAGATATATAATTTTATTATTCCCAATTTAAATCGATATCGTTTCAATTATATTTTAATTCTTTTGTTTATTTTTCTTTTTATCGGTTTAACAAAATTTCCAAGCACGTCGTCAACACTACGAACGAATTCACATTGATGCACAATATTCCTAGAATATAAATATTTTTTCAATCTTGTTAACGCAACATTAATTCTAAAGTAATACGCGTAGATCGATAAAAGATTCAGTTTCTGCTAGAGTTAATTGGAGAGAAACTGAAGAATCGAGGGTGATCGTTGTCGTCTTTATTTAACGAAACTTCCGTTTCCTTGATTGATTTAATTAGTTCGTACCTGTGGACAATATAATTAAGTTTCCTTTCGTCTAATTAATTAACGTACTTTATTATATAGCAGTATAAGATCGGAGAAAAGAAACATTGTTTATCTCGTCTTAGAGAAATTGCTGAAAATATATGTATATAATTTTGTTATTTTCGTAAGAAGAAAATTCTTTTACACATTTGACACAAACATAATATTATCGTATTCACTCGTAAAATATTAAAATTATTTTTAAGATGCTTCTAAATTTGTATGTAAATATATTTCTTTTTTTTTTTTTTTTTTTTCGCCACTTTTAACAAGCTTTACTTTTTCTACAGAATAAAACGAATATTAATGTTTCTCTGATGTAATACACGGTTTGCCAGTTTTGTGCAGATAATTAATTGCTTTACGTAGAGATCTAAACTCTGCTTACACGTATCTACGCTATGTACATACACACATATACATACATATACATATTGCGTAACGTATAATTATAATTCCATCACGACACCCGAAGTTTGTTTTAGGAGGAAAATTGCATCATGGTATGCGCATTATGGTACGCATTTATAATTCATAACTGTGCGTCTCTCGTTTGATGCTCCGGCTACTACATAAGCGTTGTATTTGATAGAACTACGTTAATTTATTTGTCATTGGGTATACACATCTCTTTCAGCAAAATGTATTAGTTTATTTTCAAAATTATTTATTATTATTATTATTATTTATTATTATTAATATTACTATTATTACTATTCATTTATCAATAAAACACGGTTAAAGTGTATTACGTTGCGTTGAAAATGTGACGGGATAAAGTTTTAATAAAACGGCACGTTGATCTGTCCCGTTGTATATATAAAATGTAACTACCGACACTTTTAACACGTGCTTGCCAATTATTATTAAAACCAAACACACGTACACACACACACACACACAGGCGCATAAAAAACTTTATTATTTTCAAGGTAAAA